AATGAAACAGAAAAGTGAAGATCAACAAGAACAGAAGGACACTAAGAAGAACAAATTCTAACGACTGCGAACGTAACGACGAGCGATAAAGCTTTGAACAAAACGAATGAGTAAGGATTTGATAGAACCTGGTTTGGGAACGTATTAGGCTCTGATACCAGATGATATAAGATCAAAGGAGATGATCTTACATGTGGGAATAACGGTGGATTGATGGAGCTCGAACAAGGGACCAAACGGTTCTCCTTGATTAAGTGGATCGGCGGGGAATTGGTGATCGGAATGAGAACAAAAGAGAAGGCCACACGGCTCCTTCTTCTTGCTCACTGGATGGGGATGAACGAGAGTGTTGCGGTGGATCGGAAGACGTCACAAAGCTTGTGAAAGAGCTTTGATAAGTCGAGTGAACCGAGGAATCAAAGGGAAACCGCTTTTGATTCGAGAGCTCGAAGAAAATGAAGAAACTACGATTTTTATTACTTGAATGAATGAATATTACAGACTGCATATGGAACCTTATATAGTGGTTCTTCAGCCTTGACCTTCTAGGGTCCAATACAAAAGAAACGGAAACAAAATAACTTGGCTATAAAGCCTAAAGATACAAGAAATAAATTCTATGCTATTCTAGACTAAAGGGACGTGATTCTCCTGCAAAACAAAAGGAAAGGAATTAATTAAAATCAATGTATTTAAACACTTACTTGGAGTTGGTTCATGCCTTGGTCGCCAATTCTTCGGTTAGAGATGGTTTGATCATTAATACGGTTGGGCCGAATTTGGTCTTGATAAGTGGCCACTCTTCTAAGCTTGGATCCTCATTGTTATTGGGCCTTGATATGTCTTCTTGAACGTCTCTTTGGTTGATCAAACTTTCTACAGCTTTGTTGAACTCTTCTCTCATTGTTCTCAAACCTGATCTTGTTCTTGGTGGTTCATACATGACGGGAATTTTGATGGGTTGTTGTTGCTCTGGACTTGTATCTTCATCAGGCAGAAAAAAATAAAGTTACATATAATGTTTAAATATTCTGATCAAACTATCTACCCGCCTATGTTCAATACGTCAGCATTCGAAGCTTTAATTTCAAAAATCAGGAGAAAAATCTCCGCCGTCAATGCAAAGCGAAGGCGACACTTGGGGAAGCACTTTGATATTTCACTTGTTTAGCTAACCCATTTTCACGTCGATAATCAATTTTAATTTATGTGTGATCATTGT